AAAGAAAAAGGAAACAGCTCAAATGTCCAAACACGAAGCAGAAGTCCTCACTCTCCTGGCTGAGGACACAATCACAATGCCAAAGCTCCTGAGACCTTGTCTTGGCAGCTTTCCAGGAACTACAGTCTGTATCCTCACTGTAAGAGGTCAGCTGTATGACCTGTGAGAAGGTCATTCAGAGGAAGAGCGTCTTCATCCCCAGCATCAGTCTGGCCATGGCTTATAGAAGATGCTGGAGAAATGCAAGGATTGGAGATGACTCAACAGATTAAGTATCTACTGCACAGGCACAAGACCTGAGTTCAAATCCCCAGCACCTCCATGAAAGGCCAGGTCCACTGGTGCACAGCAACAGGAATGTAACTTACAGACAAACCAGCTCCCTGAATCACAGGTAACTCAGCATATCTCAGTGAGCCCCAGGTCCAGTAAGAGATCCTGTCTCAAAAATAAGGTGAGGAACAAATGAGAAAGACACCTGACTGACATCAACCCTGGGCCTATACAGGGACACATACACACACACACACACACACAGACACAGAACGAGAGGGGGAGGGGGGAGGGGAAGGGGGAAAGGGGAGGGGGAGAGGGGAAAAGGAGGGGGAGAGAGAGAGTTGGGTTATCAACAAGAACACACAGTGTTAAACAGTGTAGGAATATGACCTAGATTAGGCGTTTTATAACCCTACATACTGTAGATCCATGCCTATAATTCCAACACTTGGAATGTGGAGGCATGAAAATCAGGAACTCAACTGGAGTCTAGACAACATAGTGAGTTTCAGGCCAGCCTGGGCTATATTAGACCAAAAAAAAAAAAAATCAAAACTTCAAAGGATGGGCAGATCCTTATTCGATTCAAAAATAGAAATTTAAGAGTATAGCCCTCTCTTCTGGCCATTACAAGTGACTCTACTTCAAAGCAGTCATTAACTCTAAAAGCAGTAGTCTGGTAAAACCTGCACTGACAGGTTCCAAACATTTGTCTCCCACTCAAACCTCTGTCACCCAGATGGCTAATTCCACTCCCCCTATAAAAATGATTTCTTCCCTCTTCTAATACCTGGATTCTGACATGTATACACTTCCTTCCATCAAAGCTGCTCATTGCCTTGTTCACCCAGCACCAGAAATCCCCTTCCTAAGCCTTACAGTCCTTATAGCAACCCCTGAGACAAGGCCAGCAGGCACAGGCTTTCCTTAGTCATCACAAAAGCACCAACAAGGCCTGTCCCTCTGATGTCCAGCCATATCCCCCACCCAGGACAAGCTGTTAGAGGTTACCCCATACCCAGGGCTCTTTAAGTCTCTCAGGAGCAAGGCTGCCTGTGAAGCTGCTGAACGGTGACAGGGAGCACCAAATCTTCCTGATGACTGCCCTGAGTGACTTTATGGACTGAGATACCACCTATCCCCCTCCCAGGATGGGACTCGGACTCCCTCAATCATGATGCAGCTCCTATGCAAGCATGATGACCTGCATTTGGTCTCCAAGACACAGGTTTAAAAGAGACAATGATACCTCAGTGTGCAATCCCACCACTAGTGCTTGTAATCCCAGCACTAGGGAGAAAGAGTCAGGCAGATTCCAAGGCTTGCTGGCTAGCCAGCCTAAACTACTTATGGAGTTCCAGGCTAGTAGGTGGTCTTCTGACCTCTACACAGTCACCTCTGTCTCTGTCTGTGTCTCTCTCTCTCTCTCTCTCTCTCTCTCTCTCTCTCTCTCTCTCTCT